GAAATTATTATTCAGTTATGTCACTAGGTCTGCCATCTTCATATGGTAAAATTAGTGTACTCTTGTCAATGTTGAAGTAGTATTTACTCTAACGTATACAACTATTGGTAATTTTTTTATTATTATTTAAGAAATAAACTTATCAGTTCCACCAAAGTTCCAACAATATTGGATAGGTCTCAAAAGCTCAAGGTTCCAATACCCTAAAGTCCCAATATTCCAATGTCTAATAGCTTAAGTCCCAATATTTCGAGGTCCTAGTATCTTAAAGTCCCAATACTCCAAGTTCTAGTATCTCAAAGTCCCAATACCCCAATTCTCAATACTCCAAGTCCCAATATTTCAAAATCCCAATACTCCAAGTCCCAATATTTCAAGTCCCCATACTCCAAATCCCAATATTCCAAAGTCCCAATACCCCAAATCCCAATGTTCCAAAGTCCCAATACCCTAATTTCCAATATCCCAAAATCCCAATACTCCAAGTCCCAATACCTCAAATTCTAATACTCCAAATTTCAATATTCCAAAGTTCCAATACCCCAAGTCCCAATGTTCCAAAATCCCAAAACTTCATATTCCAATATCTCAAGTCCCAATACTCCAAGTTCCAATATTCCAAAGTTCCAATATCTCAATTCCCAATACTCCAAGCTCCAATATTCCAAAGTTCCAATACCTCAAATTTTAATATACCAAATCTCAATATTCCAAAGTCCCCCAATTTCCAGTATCCCAAAATCCCAATACTCCAAGTCCCAATATTTCAAGTCCCCATACTCCAAATCCCAATATTCCAAAGTCCCAATACCCCAAATCCCAATGTTCCAAAGTCCCAATACCCCAATTACCAATATCCCAAAATCCCAATACTCCAAGTCCCAATACCTTGAGTCACAATACTCTAAGATCCCAATACCCCAAGTCCCAATATTCGAAAGTTCCAATACCCCAATTTCCAGTATCCCAAAATCCCAATACTCCAAGTCCCAATACCTCGAATTCCAATATCTTAAGTCCCAATACTCTAAGATCCCAATACCCCAAGTCCCAATATTCCAAAGTTCCAATACGCCAATTTCCAGTATCCCAAAATCCCAATACTCCAAGTCCCAATACCTCAAATTTTAATACTCGAAGTCCCAATATTCCAAAGTTCCAATACCCCAATTTCCAGTATCCCAAAATCCCAATACTCCAAGTCCCAATACCTCGAATTCCAATACCTTGAGTCCCAATACTCTAAGATCCCAATACCCTAAGTCCCAATATTCCAAAGTTCCAATACCCCGATTTCCAGTATCCCAAAATCCCAATACCCCAAGTCCCAATACCTCAAATTCTAATACTCGAAGTTCCAATATTCCAAAGTCCCAATATTCCAAGTCCCAATACTCCAAATCCCAATACTTCAAATTCCAATATCTCAAGCCCCAATACTCCAAGTTCCAATATTCCAAAGTCCCAATATCCCAAGTCCCAATATTCCAAAGTCCCAATACGCCACACTCCCAATATTTCAAGGTCCCAAATTTCAAACTTCCATAACATCCCAAAGTTCCCAAAAACCAACACCTCCTAAAAATCTCACTCTTCCAAAAATCCATAACTCCCTCTGAAAAATTCTCACATAGACAGCCTATATCATTACCCTATTAAACGCATCGTACAAAAACGGCGATATATCGAGCGCGTCACTAATCTTTAAAAATCCGCCGCCATAAACCTCGTCCCTTTCCACTACCATCTCCTAAACCTCCCAAAGCCTTCAAACAATAAAAAATCAAACTCTCAATAGAAATATCGAGATCAGCGATAATTTTCAGCAACACCCATCTGAATTAAGTTTCATTCTCATAATCATGGCACGCGTGAGAACCATCGATCCGAAATCGATGGCCCGTTATCAAACAGAGCGCGAAGGGGCATCGCGATAACGATTATCACTTTTATTGCGTGTGGCCGATGTCGAGGCACGCGTCCGAGGAACGGGCGTGCTGTAGTACGTGACGATAGCACGATGATTTCCCGAGCCGGTGTCTCTTCACACGAGGCTCATCCGCGCGAACGAGAGCTAATGATAGGCATCCGCGTTTGGAAAAGTAAATCGAGCTCTTTGTCTTATTCGAAAAGAAAGCGATATCGCTGCACGATTGTAAATCACCTGTCGCCGGCATCCGTGACGCTCGCAGCTGGAATCAGGAGATTTCGAACCTCGAAACTAATAACGAGCCGGGTCGATAATGGACGGAAAGTTGACGCAGAAAGCGCGGGGATGAAAGTTTTCGAAGAATCGATTGGGTTTCTTGATGAGTCTTGATATTATTCCGTTTTTGCAATATCACGAATTTCTCTACGGTCTTCATTTTCTTTCTAGGTTTTGAGTAGGTTTTTTTATGCATGTTAGGTGTAATCAGTTTTATTAATATTCGGTTCTGTGAAGGAAGTGTGGGTTTGAATTTTTGGGCACCGAACCGACTATGCGCAGTTATAGTCCTTCATTTTTCTGCAGGGTCTTTTGATATCATCTTTTTATGCGAATCTGTGTTATTAGGTATAATTTAGGAATTATATTAACAGAAATCATGTTAACTTTGAAGGGAACTGCATGAATTTGAATTTGGGGTGACTTGGACCACCGAACCGACTATGCGCAGCTATAATTCTTCATTTTTCTTGAAGATATTCTTCTAAATCACTTTCTCTTATGAATCTCTGTAGTATTAGGTGTAATGCATGAAGTATGACATCATTAACTATGTTAAATCTTAAGATAATTGTCTGAGTTTGAATTTGGGATTTCTTGAACCACCGAACCGACTATGCGCAGCTATAATTCTTCATTTTTCTTGAAGATATTCTTCTAAATCACTTTCTCTTATGAATCTCTGTAGTATTAGGTGTAATACATGAAGTATGATATCATTAACTATGTTAAGTCTAAAGAGAACTGTCCGAGTTTGAATTTGGGATTTCTTGAACCACCGAACCGACTATGCCGACCGATTTTTCTTGATTTTCCCTCAAAATTTCAACCCACTACTTCTCATACTTATTTGTCGTATCATCTACGATGTATCACTTCAGCTAATATAAACTTCCTCAGCAACAATATTACACTATGTAACTTATGGCAACTTCCATCAACTCTCCTTAACCTCCAAACTAAATAGAAAAGATTACTTGTCTCCAACTAATAATTAACATAAAGGTATTAAAATGTCTCATTCTATAAGCCAAAACAAAATTTGATGTTCAAAGCGCAGGCAAAGCGTTGCTAACGAAGTTTCCAGGAAGCAAACGTTGAAGAACGTCGTTCCAGAAATTAACCTGGAGCCTTGAGTAATTCTCTATAGCCGTTCGCAGCAAGGCTTCTTTGAAAACACCCTATCGTTACGTACCTTCTGTCTTCTGCATCCTGCTGACCTTCTCTGGTACAGTTTTACGTAGACGTTCATTTTTCACGAACGTTCCTTCTCATACAAGAAATTGTGGAAACGAGGAAAGAAGGCTGGCTAGCTTGGTACGTGGGTAAAACGAATGAATTTCATCGTCATGTCTAAGTGAAATGAAATTGAGCTTCGTGAACTCCGTCCTTTTCGAGCGACGCGAAAACCTGCTACGTCGAACATTTATTAAAAACCGGATAACAAATATTTTTATATTCCTCTGTTGAGGGTACAGTTTCTCTATTGTATGGATATTGAATTGTCAACTGACTTCGACGCTTTTTTGTGGGGTTGGGAAAACGTTGCGAGGAGAACGATGAATAATCGAGCTACCGTAAATTCGACGGGCGACAAGTTCAACACGTGGGAAATTCGACGCATGGCGAAATCGACGCACGGTTAATTCAACGCGTTGTGAATTGTACGAGTGAGGAAGTAACAAGTGGTATATTTGGCGCGTTTAAATTGTGTGAGTGACAAATTCGACGCGCGGTAAATTCAACGTACGGCAAATTCAACTCACGGTATATTGAACGCACGGCAAATGCAACGCGCGGTAAATTCAACGCGTGGCAAACTCAATGCGTAGTAAATTCAGTGCGTTATGATCTCAACGAGTGACAAATTCAACATGTGGTAAATTGAACACACGGCAAATGCAACGCGCGGTAAATTCAACGCACGGCAAATGCAACGCGCGGTAAATTCAACGCGTGGCAAATTCAATGCGTAGCAAATTCAATGCGTTATAATCTCAACGAGTGACAAATTCAACGCGTGGTAAATTCAACGCAAGGTAAATTCAACGCACGGCAAATTCAACGCACGGCAAATGCAACGCGCGGTAAATTCAACGCGTGGCAAACTCAATGCGTAGTAAATTCAGTGCGTTATGATCTCAACGAGTAACAAATTCAACGCGCACTAAATTTAACGCGTGGCAAACTCAACGCACAGTAAATTCAACGCGTGATAATTTCAACGCAAAGTAAAATAAACACGTGACGAATTCTGCACGCAGCAACTTCAACGTGCACTAAATACAACGCACGTCGAATTTAGCGCACATTGAGGTCAACGCACGTCGAATTTAGCGCGCGTTGAGTTCAACGCACGTCACATTCAACGCACGTTAAATTTAACGCACAGAAAATTCAGTATACAATAAATTTAACAGAGGATGAATTTAACTTATAGCAAATTCAACGCATAATGAACTCAACGCATCAAAACTTCAATAAGTTACCACAGTAAAATCATCAGTACTCAAATGTCTCCTACAAAGGCGGCAATATAACGAGGGTTCAACATAATTTCAACACAAACGTAATAAAATTACTTCCTAAATGTCCACTAATACACTGCTCAAAATAATTATGTCATATGTAACAGTCAACAACTTTATTTAATTAAAAATAAAAACAAGAACATTCGCAAACGAAAACATAACGTAACTTTTAATTATTTCAAACAGTGTACTTTAAGAAACAGAATAATTACTAAATTGCCAGTTTTTTCCTTTTTCGCAAGTAAATATTTAACAAAATGAAATTAACGATCAGACTTATGGTCCTTTCCACCGTCACCCTTCCCTCCATCGTCACCCTTCTTGTACGCCCATTTCTTTTCTTCGTCCTGTTCCTTCTTCTGTCCATGCATGTCTTCATGTTCGTAATGATCATCTTTGCCTTCAGCCTGCTTATGTCCATCTTCTTTGTGGTAGTGTTCGCCTTTCTCGTGCTGTCCTTTCTTACCGTAGTGTTCTTCGTGCTCGCCCTTGTCGAGGTGACCCTTCTTCTCGTGGCCACCCTTCGAGGACTCGTGCTCGTGATGAAACTCGCCGTCTTTCTCGCTGTCGTCGTCCTCGTGGTACTCGTCGAAGAATTCGGTTCGCTTCTCGAACTCGTCCTGTGGACAGAATTTTGATACTTGCAAATTTGGGAATTTGGGGAGTTTAGGGATTTGGAGATTTAGGGATTCGGGAATTTAGGAATTTGGAGGTTTAGGGATTTTGGAATTAGAGGATTTGGGGATTTAGGGATTTGGAAATTTAGGGATTTGGGGATTTAGAGGTTTGGTAATTTAGGGATTTGGGAATTTAGGGATTTTGGAATTAGAGGATTTGGGGATTTAGGAATTTGGGAATTCAAAGATTTGGGGATTTAGGGATTTGGAAATTTAGGGATTTGGAAATTTAGGGATTTGGGGATTTAGGGATTTGGGAATTTAGGGATTTGGGAATTTAGGGATTTTGGAATTAGAGGATTTGGGGATTTAGGAATTTGGGAATTCAAAGATTTGGGGATTTAGGGATTTGGAAATTTAGGGATTTGGAAATTTAGGGATTTGGGGATTTAGAGGTTTGGTAATTTAAGGATTAGGGGATTCAGGGATTGGGCAAGTTAGAGATTTGGTAATTTAGGGATTTGGGGACTTTGGTATGGGACACTTTGGAGATTTGAGGATTCTAGAAAAAAGCAATTTGTAAATTTGGAAGTGCAAGTGTTGTAATTTGAGAATTTGGAAATTTGAGAATTTAAGAGTTAAGAATTCCAAATTTTGAGAATGGGGTTTTAACAATTTGGAAATTTCAGAATTGGGGATTTACTGAATTTGGGACTTGAGAATCGAGAAGCTGTGAATTTGATAATTATTTGATAAATAATAAGCTGTGAATAAAACCTTCATTTGGAACAAACCTTCTTATGAACAAAGTGTTCCCCCTTCGTATTATGTCCCTTGTCATGTTCTCCCTTCTCGTCGAACTTAGCATCCTTCTCCCCGTGTTCTCCTTTCTGATGCTCCTCATGGTACTCCCCATCCTCCTTATGTTCTTTCTTCTTGGCGTCTTCCTCTTCATAATGATTGCTGTGCTGTTCCTTATCATGGTGACCCTTATTTGCCTTCTCCTCCTTGTGCCAACTCTCGTAGCCCTATAAAAAAACAAGAATTAGAATGAATCGAAGACCTTGAGAGGACTCAACTATCCCCAACTATTACAATCAATAGAACTATCACCTTCTCTCCCTTTTCGTCCTCTGTCTCGTGATGTCCTTCTTCGTGTTTTGCGCCTTCACCCTCTTCAAACTTTCCTCCACCTCCACCTTTTCCACCTCCACCTCCACCTCCACCTTTTCCACCTCCACCTCCACCTCCGCCTCCACCCTTTCCTTCATGTTTCTCATCATGCGTCCCTTCAGCCTGCGCATCCTCATACTTCTCAACATATCTCTTATCCTCGCCATTTCCTTCATTTCTCTGATAATCCCGTTCACCCGAGTCTTCATAAACCCTCCGGTTCTTCGATTCCTCCTTGTCTCCCAGGTTCGTCGCCTCAGCAACCACGTCACTTCTATCTTCAGCCTCCTTCAATCTTTTCAACTTTGTTCTAGGTGCCCAGGTGTCCAAACGATCCAACGTGGACGAAGGGTCAGCGTTATTATATGTGGATGCATAGTAACTTGATGTGGGTTCAATGGGAGTCCTAACTGTGTGTGGACTCTGAGTTGACTCCTCAACATCTTCATAAGATGGATTTAGATAACTTGCAGGAGATATTCTTTCAGGTTTCTGGCTTGACGTCAAACTGGGGGTCACATGCTCGTAGTACTCAGTCACGGGTTCGATCACATAACCTTCATGCTGTCGATAATTCTTGTCATTGCCGTAACCAAAATTTGGTGTCCTGACGGTCTTAGTTCCCCTGGGACCTGTTGAACTTAGTGTGGTGGGTTCCTCCTCACTTTCATACCTTGATTCACTCTTTTTATGAGAGGAAGTCTTGTGTGGAAGCCCAGTGCCATAATTATCAAAACTTGATGTCCTACTGTTCTGGTAATCATCTCTGACGTTGCCATAAGCCTCCAAACTTGGTGTCGAGGAGATACTAGCCTTTGAACTCCTCATACCAGTCTGGTAACCATTCCTGACGTTGCCATAAGCCTCTAAACTTGGTGTCGAGGAGATACTAGCCTTTGAACTCCTGATACCAGTCTGGTAACCATCCCTAACGTTGCCATAAGCATCCAAGCTTGATGGTGTCGAGGTAGCCTTTGATCCCCTGATATCATGAATCGAACTCAAGGTCGTAGATTCACTCTCTTCGTTCTCAAAACTTGATCCACCCTTTTGATAAGTGGAACCTTTATAAGGAAGCCCAGTGCCATAACCATTGAAGCTTGATGATGTCCTACTGTTCTGATAATCAGCAGAGTCCCTAACCTCCAAACTGGGTGTCGCAGAGGTCCCAGTCTTAGAACTCCTAAGATAGCCTTTGATCCCCTGATATCATGAATCGAACTCAAGGTCGTAGATTCACTCTCTTCGTTCTCAAAACTTGATCCACCCTTTTGATAAGTGGAACCTTTATAAGGAAGCCCAGTGCCATAACCATTGAAGCTTGATGATGTCCTACTGTTCTGATAATCAGCAGAGTCCCTAACCTCCAAACTGGGTGTCGCAGAGATCCCAGCCTTAGAACCCCTAAGACCTTGAGTTAAACTTGATGTGGTAGGTTCACTCTCGTCGTTCTGAAACCTTCCACCCTTCTGATAAGTGGAAGTCTTATATGGAGACCCAGTGGTATCCCCATCAAAACTTGATGGTGTCCTGCTGTTCTGGTAATCATCCAAATCCCTGGCCTCCAAACTTGATGTCGCAGAGGTCCCAGCCTTCAAACCCCTGATACCATGATTTAAACTTGATGTGGTAGGTTCCTCTTCGTTCTCAGACCTTGATCCACCTTTCTGATAAGTGGAACCCTTATATGAAGTCCCAGAGCCGTACCCATCGAAGCTTGACGGTGTCCTACTGTTCTGTGTCCTACTATCTCTGTCTTTCCCATAAGTCTCTAAACTTGACGGTGTCTCCACTTCTTCACCCACTTGTGCTAACTCCTTGTCTACAGCTTTATCTTCCACGTCATAATTAGGAGAACCTTCATTATTCACCACAGGATCCGTAGGTCCTTTCACATTCTTCTCATACAGCTTCAAACCTCTGTCCACAACCTTGCCTTCTTTCTTATCTCTCCCTTGATTTCTGTCAATAGATGCAGCTACAAGCGGCCCATTTTCATTGCTGATCAACTTTTTCAAACTACTCTGAGCTGTGACGGAGCTGAGCTGTCCCGGACGCTTTAAACTTCGAGGTCTATCACTAGTACTATTATAGTTCTCAGGACTTATCTTCTCGCGAAGGCGTTTGCGAATCTTCTTCTTCCTAATTGTTTTTGTGAAGTGAGGGCTGCTGACTTCCACGTGTTTGTGGCTTTTTGGATCACTCGGAGGTGGATTTGCTTCTTCTGGAATGTGGGGAGTTAGTGGACGGACTTTTCTCGGTTTGGGGGATTTGGGTAACGGGTTTAGTGGACTTGGTGGTTCTGGCTCTGTGGGTTTTGGTCTTGGGTCACTGTATTGTAGCGGACTCTCTTGACTAGGGCTTGAATAGTATTTTGGTAGTGTTGGGTTCTTTTTTGGGGCGGGTGGATCCTGGTATGTGTTGCTGATCACTGTGGGCGCGGGTTCTTTTATTTCACTACTGTATTCAATTTCTGAAAATGATTTAAATTAGATACAATAGATATTATTGTTGATTGTTAGGTTAGATTGTTAGGTACAATAGTTAGGTACATTGAATTAATGAGACTGAGGGAAAATGAGATCTTGAATATTTTATATAATTTATATTGAATTTAGGTTTATGTAATTTTTTTTATTTTAGGTAAATCAAGTTTTGTCTCATTTTATGGATATTTGTTAAGTCTAGCTTTGTCTCATTTTATTAACATTTATTAAATCAAGCTTTACGGTTTCGAGTACACAAATTAACAGTAGACAAAATGGCGGTAAGACTTAAATGGCGGAACACCTTCACAGATCATAAAAATTACTATTCTATTAAAAGAAAGATATGTTTAAATTTTAAATATCTGCAATTAGTTGAATATATAAAAATCCCAGCCTTGAAAAATTAACAAACTAACAAATTTATGAAGAGACTGTATTTTAAAGATTCGGCCATTTTGATCACGCCCGCCATTTTGTATACCTTAACCTCTCAACGCTAAAGATCACAGTCAAAGTACTGTTTAAAGTATGTCTACAAAAATAATTATATCTTCTGTATTTTTTAACAAATTTTGAGCTATGCTGAATTGTCTACAAAAATAATTATATCTTCCATATTTTTTAATAAATTTTGAGCTGTCCAGAATTGTCTACAAAAATAATTACATCCTCTGTATTTTTAAACAAATCTTGAGCTGTCCAGAATTGTCCACAAAAATAATTATATCTTTCATATTTTCGACAGAAAAAAGTAATCACTATATTTTCAATCCGAAACAAGTTTTCCGAATGAATAGAAAGATTGAATGTTTACCTGCATTTTTGTGAGAACCAGAGATCTTCCTCTTCCCTTTCCGATTAATCTTCTGCGGCTCGTACTCCATGATCGATAAAGCTTCCTCCATATTCTCCAGATCTCTGATCAACATTATCTCCGACTGATCCACCTGTTGATCCAAACTCGTTCGAGCATTGTTCTGTTTTGAAACAACATTTTCACTATCCGTCAAGGACGAAAGGTCATTGTTGATCTTTGCTGAACTGCGATCGACTAGAATTTCAGGAGTTCGTTTCTGAATGTCATCGTTTGAGATTGTTCTTGGCCTGACTCCATTTATTGTTGCTGATTTTGTCTGTGGAATAGAGACAATATTATTTCTGTCAGAATATAGTTATGCTTTAAATATAAAATATAAAACAGAATTACAGAAAACTTGCATTTCTTTAAATAAAACTATTTTTACTAAAATTAAAATACTTATGAAAATGCAACAAATGTTTTAATACAGAATAAAGTAAATCATAACTGTTATAACCTCAAGGGGAAGCTTCAAAGAATATGACAATATTTTTTTTTAATTTAAACCCTTTACGCCCCTCATTGAAAAAACGCAAGGGAAGAATTTGTCCAAATTTTTCGACATTGTAAACCAAATTGACTGGACTAAAAAAAATATTTTAAAATAGTACAATCCTTTTTGAATAGAACAGAACAAAATTTAACTAAATCGGTTGGGTGGTTTCTGAGAAAAAAATTCACAAGTGAAGTCTATTTTCGCAAAAGTGGGTAAAAATTGCGAGCTTTGAAGGCTTGTTATTTTTTAACAAATTCGAAACCAGCAAAATGATGACTTAAACCCCCCTTAATTTCGCGTGAACTACAACATACTTTAATTAAAGCAAAATCGCAAATGGTGACGTCCAAAATTTCGCAGATGATTCAACCTGATTAACAAAATCCTGATATTTCAAGCTAATTAACAAAATTATCTAAGACATTAATATACTGTAAAAATGTTACCCAATAAATTATTGATAAAAATGTTCCGCAAGAGTGCTATGAGATGAAAATAAGACGTTACCGTGCATGGTAGAAGCAGCAATATGGCCGCCAAAGTCCCTAGCGTTCGCATGATTCTCCAAGAACAGAACGAAGACTGAACAAAGATTGTACCCGAACCAGGCAATTATATCGCGTGTTTCCTCGTGTCCGAAAGTTATTCGCGAATGATATGACAATTTCACAGCGATCTGGAGGTAGACTTCGTTGAAGGGAGTCGATTCGCCGCGATCCCGATTCGCGTTGATTCGATCAAATGATTCAACTTCCTACTTTCTCTATCGCTTGCGTAACATCGCCGATTAGATTGAATAACAAAGCATCTTGAAACGGGCGTTGCATAAGAACCTTGATCTGCGGTTACCTTTTTCTTCTTCTACATTTCGGATGTTGATTATTGAAGTTTGCAAGAACGCGTAATTCAATTACATTCTTGAGACTAATTTTTTTTCTTAGTTGTCTGCGTTCTTGTAGTTGGTTGCTGGGTATTGCAAATTGAAGGGACTTTGAAATGTAGCAAGTTTAAATGGCGGAGGTAATATGTTACATGACATGTACACTGTTCAAACAAATAATACAGTTCAATTTATATAAAACTTCTGTTGTAAAATCATGACAGAAAAGTTTCACAAAATGGCACTTATGGTACATCAAAGTAAAGCTTGAAGCTTTAGAAAAGTGTCTATATAAAGGTTTTTGGGATAACTTTTGTGTAAAATGAATGGTTGTTAATTATAGCAGACAATGCAACAGGGAGAAAATGGTATATTACTCAAATGACCAGTTTCAAAATATAAAAAGTGAAAGACAAAATCATGACAGAAAAGTATCACAAAATGGCACTTATGATACATCAAAATAAAGCTTGAAGCTTAACAAAAATAACGACGTAAAGCTTCATGAATTACAATGAACACAAAATGAGTGGTGACTGTTTGAAGCGGACAGTGTCAGAGTGAAATTCGAACAAGCAGATTCAATCACAAAAACTCGAAGAAAAATTCATGACAGAAAAGTATAACAAAATGGCGGTTATGATACACGAAATTAAAGCTTGAAGCCTACTAAAAATAACTGCATAAAGTTTCCCAAACTGAAATTAATATAAAATGAATGATAAATCATTAAAGCAAACAATGAGTCAAAGTGAAATCCAAATAAACACAAAAACTCGAAGAAAAAATCATGACAGAAAAGTATCACAAAATGGCGGTTATAGTACACAAAATTAAAGCTTGAAGCCTACTAAACATAACTGCATAAAGTTTCCTAAACTAAAACTAACCTAAATTGAACGATGAATGACTAAAGCAAACAATGAGTCAAAGTGAAATCCAAGCAAGCACAAAAATTCGAAGGAAAATTCATGTCAGAAAAGTATCACAAAATGGCCGCCATGACGCACGAAGTTAAACTTGATAAAAGCGAGTGAATACGAAGTTACGAACCATACCAAATACTAAGTTACGAATGAGTAGAGAAATTGTAACAGTCGAGCTGTTTTATAAGAGCGTTATCGAAGTTAATTAACTATCTGTTGTTCAAGGAATCGTTCCTGGTAGTCATGGAACGATGAAGAAGCACGATACGAAACGTTTGGCTTCCTATCGTAGGAAGACTTGCAATCTCGCGAGTCGATTCAGATGGCGACAATGGAACGCGTTAGCGGACCGTAGCCAATTTCACGCCAGGATTTTCACTTTTCACGCCAACACGGAACGTAAACGATTTCTTGCTTGATCGATTGCCCTGACCGACGATATTTCGTCAATTCGTTTGCCAAAGACGAACTTCCGTCTTACAATGTCTTACCCCCATTTCCGTTCCCAATCTTCTAGCAATTACAAGTCCAATTATAAAAATTCACAATCTTCTAACAATTACAAGTCCAATTATAAAAATTCACGATCTTCTAACAATTACAGGTCCAATTATAAAAATTAAACATAGTAAAACACCTTAAACTTTGCAATTAATAATAAAATACCCAAAGATATTTTCGAAATGAATTTTCATGAACTTGCAAAAAAAATAAGAAATGAAAGAGATATTTATGGAATTTAAATTCGAACTGGTATTAAGAGTATAAGATACTTAATGCTGTTTTAATTAAATTTGAAGTGCCAGAGGTTTATGAAGGTCCATTAATATTCGACGTATTGAAGCCTCTAAATACCTCAGGTTGACAAAAAGTGTGCTCGATTCTGTGACTTCTTATTGAAGCTTCCTTTCACCAATATTAGCAACCGCAGCAACAAAGTTATCGAAAATATGATAAAGAACGTCAAAACTCTGTTTTGTCAGAGTTTGAAAGTAAAATTTCCTTTCTTGAAAGAAAATTGGAAGAAAATTAAAAGAAAATTTGAAAGAAAATAAAAAGAAAACAGAAAAAAAATTGAAAGAAAATTGGAATGAAAATTTGAAAGAAAATTTAAAGAAAATTTAAAAGAAAATTTGAAAGGAAATTTGAAAGAAAATTTGAAAGAAAATTTGAAAGAAAATTAAAAGAAAATTTAAAAGAAAATTAAAAGAAAATTTAAAAGAAAATTAAAAGAAAATTTGAAAGAAAATTGAAAGAAAATTTGAAAGAAAATTGAAAGAAAATTTAAAAGAAAATTTGAAAGAAAATTTAAAAAAAAATTTAAAAGAAAATTTAAAAGAAAATTGAAAGAAAATTTGAAAGAAAATTGAAAGAAAATTTGAAAGAAAATTTAAAAGAAAATTTAGAAGAAAATTGAAAGAAAATTTGAAAGTAAAATTTGAAAGAAAATTTCTCCAATTTGAAAGTAAAATTTTAAGAAAAGACATTTTGTGAAGGCTAGTCATTAGAACTAGTCGTCAGTTAATAAATGCATAGAGGTTATAACAGGAACAGCATCGACTCCATATTCCCCGAGTTTCCGCTGGAATTGTGCTTATTAAGTCCATTAACCCGAACAGTCAACGAACAGATACAATTTCACACACCTGCACCGGTATTTACGCGTGCTTTCCGCTTCTACGTTCGATTACGTTCCCCTTTACGCTGCGACCCTAAGAGGGTTCTCGCGAACGATGACGCACTGCTTTTCCCAAGAATTTTGCTGGGATTTAGGAAAATGCCTTTCGGTTGAATGAAAATGCACAATGGTTTTCGCGGATAGGACTCAATGGATCACTTGTTTAGTTTGGTATGAGGGGGTGTGGAGATCTAGGGATGTGGGTTGTTATGATTTGAGGGTGAGGGGATTTGAGGAAGTAGGAATTTGGAAGTGTGGGAATTTGGGAAGGTAGAAATTTGGGGAGATGGGAAATTTGCAGTGGGGTCTTGTGATTGAGACATTTTCTTTTAATCAAGTTTAATTGATTCGCTAAATTAACCTTCTTAGACAGTGACGGTAAAAGAAGAATTGAAAAATATGTTGTTTGTGTTTTTCTTTTTATTATTACATTGTCATCAGCAATTAACAAATACAGTACACTGTTATGACTAGTCAAGAAGTATCTTACAAAATAAGATACAAGAACAACTGTTCAGTGACCACTGCTAGAGAACCATTTCTTCCCCGATTCGTGTCCACCTTTCTTCCCGTACTTTTTACCCTGTTGATGGTGGTCGTCGTGACCTTCGGCCAGTTTGCGACCTTTTTGGGTGCGGTGATGGTGACCCTCCTCGTGCTTCTTCTTCTTACCATGATGATCCTAAAAAATTATGCAAAACAAAGTTAGCGTTTAATGGGAAGGAAAATTGTATTATATATTTATATCACATAATTGTCATATTTATCATTATTATTATATTATATCATACATCATGTATTATATTATGAAACTTATTTTAAAAAATTGTATCATATCATTATATAATAATAGGAAAACCTTACTGTGTAATAATAATAATTATAGTTTTTAACGAACCTCGTGGTTACCAGAATCCATATGACCCATCTTCTCGTGTCCACCCTTCTTGCCCTCGTGTTCGTGGTGATAACCCCCGTGCTTCTCGTGTTCTCCGTCTTCGTGGTATTCGTCGTAAAAATCGTGCTTCTTTTCATACTCGTCCTGCAACAATTACGACAGTACCTTTATCAAATTTCATCGAATCCGCTTTTCAAAAGATCATCAGCTTTTCAATCGGCTTAATTAAAAAGATACTAGATGCATTAACATAAAATTATCGTCAAATTAACAGTTTCGAATCTCCCAAAATTTCAAGAAAAAAAGAGAACATATTTCATGGTATCAAACATTACTAAAAAAAAAGTAATGCCAGTTGCATAAAGTCATCACAAAATTGACATAAATTTATCATAAAATTAATAGTTCTTTGTCTAATACAAAATTGATTGCAAAATAAATTGAAATTAATTGCAAAATGAATTCCTACAATTAAATATAAATCTTAATTTATAAATATGAATATAAAGAATGTTTCCGGTGACACAAACCTTTTTGAAAACACTATGCTCTCCTTTGGTACTATAACCTTTCTGGTGTTTCCCTTCCTCGTCAAACTTCGCCATTTTGTCACCCTCTTCGTCACGGTGATTTTCGTCGTAATGGTCAGATTCCTCGTGCTTCTTTTCCTCTTCGCCCTTTTCCTCTTCGTACTTCTGTTTGTGGTTCTCTTTATCGTGGTGGCCCTTTTCACCCTTGTCGAACTCGTGGAAAACTTTATAACCCTGATGACAAATCAGAGGATGTACATATATCGTTGGACTCTCGCTATATTGCCGATGATGTAATAGCGAAAACTTTTGGGAGTTGATATTGAGTTGAATGCGCATTACAATATGTAGAGATTATAAGATCATGAAAGGTTACAATATGCTGAGAATACAACGCAACGAAAGAAACTATGCGTAGTAACAACGCGGAGTAATCGAAAGCGTAATTATCTGACGTGTAGTAATTCAACGCGTGGTTATCTAACGCGTGGTAATCCAGCGTATGGCTATCTAACACGTAGAAATCTAACGTGTAGTAAATACAACGTGCGGCAACTCAACGCGTAGTAATCTAACGCGTCGTAATCCAACGCGTGGTTATCTAACGCGCGCTATCTAACACGTAGAAATCTAACGTGTAGTAAATACAACGTGCGGCAACTCAACGCGTAGTAATCTAACGCGTCGTAATCCAACGCGTGGTTATCTAACGCGCAGAAATCTAGCGCGTAATTAATACAACGCGTGGAAACCCAATTCATAGTAAATACAACGCGTGGTTATCTAACGCGTAGTAATCTAGCGGGTGGCTATCTAACGCGTGGTAATCCAGCGTATGGCTATCTAACACGAAGAAATCTAACGTGTAGTAAATACAACGTGTGGCAACTCAACGCGTAGTAATCTAACGCGTCGTAATCCAACGCGTAGAAATCTAGCGCGTAATTAATACAACGCGTGGAAACCCAATTTATAGTAAATACAACGCGTGTGAGAATACAACGCAACGAAAGAAACTATGCGTAGTAACAACGCGGAGTAATCGAAAGCGTAATTATCTGACGTGTAGTAATTCAACGCGTGGTTATCTAACGCGTGGTAATCCAGCGTATGGCTATCTAACACGTAGAAATCTAACGTGTAGTAAATACAACGTGCGGCAACTCAACGCGTAGTAATCTAACGCGTCGTAATCCAACGCGTAGAAATCTAGCGCGTAATTAATACAACGCGTGTAAACCCAATTCATAGTAAATACAACGCGTAGTTATCTAACGCGTAGTAATCCAGCGGGTGGCTATCTAACGCGCCGTTATCCAACGCGTAGTAATCCAGCGGGTGGTTATCTAACGCGTGGTAACTCAGCGAACGGTTATCCAACGCATCATAACCCAGCACGCAATAATCTAACGCGTGATTATCTAGTAATCCAGCACATAACATTGTCTCCTACAAAATCCTACCCAATCCAAACTCCATTCCCCAACGAAGCAACCGATCATCCCAGTTAAATATGGCGAACGTTCATAACGAGCGTCCGCGTTATAAATAAGGATCCGGTAGCAAAGAAGAATCTATGTGGGCAATTTTGAAACGTTTCCCCTGCAAGTAACGAGTCGCCAGGACGAATTAATTGCCCTCCCGGCCGATATTCTCACTGAATAAAAGTGAAAAGCAATATCAGAAGGCGTGCAGTAGAAAAGGGGTGGCTAGAAAGGTGGCTGCGAAACACCCTATCGTTACAAAGAATATTTTCCCGACGAAGAAAGGAGGCGTCGTTCGACGACGTTGCGAGAAGGTCGTTCGTGCAAAAACGACCGTATAATAAATAATACCCTGGACAGTAATATTACGGGCGATATAAAAAGAAAGAAGAGTCGTCGAGGAACGTTGACAATGACGAGCACCGTCGATGGCTGTCTTGCGAAAGGAACGGTATCGCTTTGTATCGAAAATATCAATTTTGAACGGTTTTATCGTTTTAATAATTATGTGATTATCTGCTTTTATTTTAGGAATTTTTGGTAGCTATATTATTATACATTAGTATGTTGTTTAGTAAGTATATTATTGGTACATTGTTATTTATTTTTAGTTAGTATTCTGTTAGCTAGTGTTACCCACTAACCTACCACCCTCTGGGTTACCACGCGTTAGATAACCACCCGCTGGGTTACTACGCGTTAGATAACCACGCGTTGTATTTACTATGGATTGGATTTCCACGCGTTGTGTTAACTGCACGCTAGATTTCTACGCGTTAGATAACCACGCGCTGGGTTACTACGCGTTAGATTACTACCACTGAGTTACTACGCGCTACATTTACCACACGTTAGATTTCTACGCGTTAGATAGCCACGCGCTGGATTACCACGCGTTAGATAACCACGTGCTGCATTACCATGCGTTAGATAACCACGTGCTGGATTACCACGCGTTGTATTTGGTACGCATTGGGTACTCACTCGTTAGATAACCACGCGTTGTATTTACTATGGATTGGATTTCCACGCGTTGTGTTAACTACACGCTAGATTTCTACGCGTTAGATAACCACACGCTGGGTTACTACGCGTTAGATTACTACCACTGAGTTACCACGAGTTGCATTTACCACACGTTAGATTTGTATATTATTAGTAATTACTGTTGTTAGGGATTGCAATTACTCTTTTATAATTAATATTTTACCTTGTCACCTTTCTCCTCGTCGACAACATGGTGGTCCTCCTGGTACTTCGTGCCTCCTCCTTTCTCCTCTTCTTTATTTTCAACTGTTTTCAAATTAATTTCAATATAATAAGTTATAAAATTTTGCAAGAAAATCTCCTTTACAGTCTCTTGTTATAGAAAATTATTTGTCTACATATGATATGACAACAATTATGTGTTACAATGATATTATTTATAAACCTTGATTGATAATCCTCACCAGTGATTTTGATGAAAGATTAAATATTTTACAAAAAATCTTAGAGTTACATGTTATTAAAAATGATATGCATGAAATTTTATAACTTCAGCAAATATTTTGTTACAACTTAAAATTTAAACCACTATTTCTTCTAATAATACATTTGATAAATGTACACTTGATAAATGTACACTTGATAAATGTACACTTGATAAATGCGCATTTGATAATTCTACATTTGATAAATTTCAATTTTATATTTATCCTATGGGAAAATTATTTCTCCAAAGAATTAAAATATTTTTTATATGATATAAATTAAAAATGAGACTGTACAATTTACAATTAACAATTATCACCTTTATGTTCACTAGCAGCAGTTTCAAGGTCACCTTTAAACCGGAAGTCGCTGGGAACCTTAACAATTCTCTTCCCAGCCAAAGAATCAAAAATAGCGAAAAGTAAGATGAATCCTATCACAGGTTTCATTTTAATTATTATTATTAATGTGAGCAAAAATATTAGCGATAATGAAGAAACACGAACGATACAAAAGTGACGCAGTCAAGTTAATTCGAACACTGAAGATCGCACAGATTCGAGAGAGAAATTTATGGACACCGTGATTCTTCTGTCCGATACTTTTTTCGTGTTAATCCGGAGAAACAACACGACCACTTTTGTTTCCTTTGTTCACCGCATCGAAGAAAGTTCTTCCGAATGACAAGCGGAAAACGATGTTTCTCTTCGCTTTCTCTCGATCATTTTTCTTTTGGCGACGCGAAGAAAGTTCATTGTCGGAATTCGCTTTCTATTGCAGTGAACATTCTTTACAATTAAATATTATTAAATACACAATTATTCAATATTAAAATTAATTTAAATCTTAACAGAAGATTAGTTTTTTAAAAAATGGTGAAAATATTTTACAATGGTTTTTGAAATTTTGCTAAAAAAAAATTAACTTGATACAAATGAAATTTTAGTGCTTAGATCTTACTAGGACTTAATACAATAATAATACAATATATTGACATAAGATAAAAATGATAAATAAGTATTTTGTTGGTTTAATGTTATTTCCAGGATAAGTAACAGCTTGAAATGAAAGACGACTATAATGCAAGGTGCACATCGATTTTTTCTTTATAACTGCTCTTCAGAAACATGTTATTTTTGCGGGAGAAACGCGATTCCCCGGGATGTTGACATTTCGCAGTTTCCTTGAATTAACATCCTTCACTTATTCTTCCTGTGTTGTCCCTGGAACAACTTTGAAACTTCCGGTAGTTGAGAATGGGAAGTCCCTGCAAAAGTGACAGTGAAATTTTTATAAGCTGTTCCTGAAATTATATTTCTGTATTGATCATTTGTAATACTGATTATTATTCAATTACAAAAACAATCATAATTAAATCATTAATCATTAAAATGCCAATTATAGCATTATTAATTGTATTGTACAGATCAATAAATTATTGTCCAGCAATTTGGTTGAAAATTTATAGTGAACTCAGTACAAAAACATTTCACAGTTTGTAAATTATAACAAAATAAACAATTTATTCTAATATTATTTTAACACTCAATTATTCAATTATAAAAACATCCACAATTAAATCATTAATTATTAAAACACCAATTATTGCATTATTAATTGTATCGTACAGACAATTTAAACTACTATGCAGCTAAAGAATTTGTTTAAAAATTTACAGTAGACACAGTACAAAAATATTTACAAAAATTCCTCACCTCATAAATTATAACAGAATAAACAATTTATTCTAATATTATTTTAACAGAACAAACAATTTATTCTAACCTTACTTTAACAGAATAAATATAATTCATCCGAAATGAATATAATTTTCAATTTAAAAAAAAAATAATTAAAAGAAAGTAATCGTTTCGCCAAAATAATTCGGAAAAGGTTAAAAATCTTTCGTCATGTAATCAGATTGTCCCCTTCCCGTGAAAACAGAATCGCGAATCAAAGAGAATGAAACAAAAAAGCTGACAAATAAAAAATAGGGGTTCGATGATCATCCCCCTGGATGCACCAAGTAAACAGCAGCTACAATTGACTGTGTAGTGGATGAAGCTGCAGTGCAAACAGCTGCTTTTTTTCCACCCTCGTTTCTATTGCTTCCGCCAACCCGTGCCTCTCCTCCTCTCGTAAGCCTTAAGAGAGAACATTTTAATACAGGTTGCAGTTTAATGAATTTCTCAGCTTAATGAATTAATCGACCTTAATACCGTCGCTTTTACCGCGAAGAGGTTGTAAGTACAATCTTCCGTGACGTCTCTTACGACATCATCAAGATGGGATCAAAGGAATATCTTCTTCTTAACCTTTCGAAGACAATGTCCTGAAAAAAAGGAAAATTAGATTGAAAATCGGAGGAGGTTTTATTAATTGTATTTTTAATTAAATGGACCTTAAGTTTGCAGAATCGATCTGGAAATCCATGCGATAAGGGGATCGTAACTTTTAGGAGCTATTTGAAGAGGTTATAAAAATCGTATGAGCGGAATATCAATGACGAGCGAGTTACGATCAATAAGTGATCGAAAATAATTTAAGAATCTGTGCTTCATGAAAATTTTATGGAAATTTGTGTATGAGAGTAATAGTTGAAATTATATTCTTGAAGGTACTAGAATATTTATATTTTAGAATTTAATATTTATAACACTTCAGAATGTGATATTTATAATATTTTAAAATGTAATATTTATGACATCTTAGAGCATAATATTTATAATATTATACAACATAATATTTATAGTATTTTAGAACATAATATTTATAATATTTGAGAATGTAATATAACATAAAATATCACTTGAGAAAATTATAACCTAAATGTTTCAAAAGACACATTCATTACTTCCACATTTCATTTACACTTTTTAACTCTGTTTCATGTTCACACATTAAATGCAACTTGACTTTGTACGTCTTTAAAAGCAATCGTTTAAGTTATCAGTATCCACTTTGTTCTCCTTTTGTAGTGTCGACGGGAAACCCGCTAAAAATTGCACCGTCAATTTCAGTTCGCAAACCACCGTGAACCCGTCAAAAGGAAGTCGTAAATATTTTGCCTTTTGTTCGAGCCACATCGAGCTTATTGTCGATTTCATTGAAACGAATTTAATTAATAAGTGTACACGTCTGTTAAATTTTTAACAATTCGCAATTATTTTTTATTTTGTAGTTAGTGATTGTATCAAATACGATTACAATTGTGTCACTTGTATTAAAGTATTATTCTTAACTTGTAATAATTTTTTACTATTTTCAGGTATACATTACTATAATTAAATGTCAAGATTTTGTCTGCAAGAAGTCTTCAAGTTTGATGAGAATTTTAAACTGAGCTTCCTTTCAAAAGTTATGTGTAGGTAAGGTTGGGTATTTAGAAGTAAGGTTGGGTATTTAGAAGTAAGGTTAGATATTTAAGGGTGAGGTTAGGTATTTTCAGTAAGGCTAGGTATTTTAGAGATTACTTTGACACTGTACATAATGATATTCACTTCAATTTTTCTGTAGTTCGGACATTCAACTCTCGATGACGTTAACAGCACTTTTTGCAGAGTTCTTTTCGCACTTTACAGAACCCTACTCTATCTTCCATGAGATGGTAAAGTTGAACGCGCTTTAATTTTAAGAAGAATGTTCTGAAATTTATTATTAACAATATCTTGACTATTACGTGAGTTTAATAAATGATATAAAACGTGCACTTATTGAGCGAGCAAGCCGAAGGTGAGCGAAAAAATGAGGGTCCGAACATGCATATAAAAAAATAAAAAAATGAGTATTTCGGCACTTTAACGACGTAGTATGGTTCTTGAGGCATTTAGAAACAAATTTCTATTAGGGATTGATGCGTTTTGATGACTAATAAAGCCGGAAAATCAATTTTTGTCGAATTCGGTTCAAAACGGTACAGGTGGCGCCATCTAACGACAAGCGGCGGAACTACGAAAAATATGGCGTTGTAACAGCAGTCTTCGGAATATCCTCTTCAGCAACCGGAATTTGGTAATAGGCTTTAACTAAATCAATTGTCGTAAATATCTTTTTTCCGTAAAGGCTAGCAGCAAAGTCCTGAATATGTGGTATAGGATAATTATCTGGAACTGTAACTGAATTCAGCCTACGATAATCACCACAAGGTCTCCAATCGCCTGTTTTTTTCGGGACCATATGTAAAGGACTTGCCCATTGGCTGCTAGATGGACGACAAATTCCTTGTTCAATCATTGCGTCAAACTCAGCTTTGGCTACCTTAAATTTGTCAGGTGGAAGACGTCGCGGACGTTCGACAGTTGGAGGACCTCGTGTAATTATATGATGTCGAACCTGATGAGCTGAATTAACACTTATACGTCTTGGTCTAGTAACTTCTGGATATTGTGAAAGAATTTGAGCAAATGGGTTATCTTTTTCGACCGAAGAGAGATTTGCTGCAGTTTCTGTTGGAATACCTGGTGATGTTAGCTGTGTCAAACCATCACGCAAACATCGATGCTTAAGATCAATAAGAAGTCCGAAATGCCTTAAGAAATCTGCACCAAGAATTGGACGTTGAACATCAGCAACACAAAACTGCCACTTGAAAACTCGCCTAAGACCAAGATCTACTGTTTTTGTTAAAATGCCATAAGTATTGATAATAGAATTATTTGCAGCATATAATTTGTAATCATTTTGATGAAACGGCCCTTTGCATGCTGATCTAGGTAAGACTGAAACATCAGCACCAGAATCCACAAGAAATCGCGTTCCGCTGGTACGATCTGTGACAAAAAGACGGCTTTTCGCATTTGAACCATCGCCAACCATCTTTACTGACGATGGCTTGTGTAGTTTTCCTCTTCCTGACCAAAATTACAAGGTTGTTGACATTTTCTAGCTAATTTACCAAACTTCTTATGAAAGAAGCATACTTGTTGCAAATTATGATTGTTATTGGAATTATAATTATTAAAATTATTATAACGTCTTCTAGAATTTGATCGATGTCGATATTTGCTATGATGTCTAAATCTGTCTCTATTTCTGTTAACATCTACAGAAAGAGTTTCGACCAAACTTTTCAATTCTGCAACTTGTTTTGCAAGCGAATCTTTATCGACTAAATTTGAAATAGAATTAACAGGATCAACTGATGAGATATTATTTCCACGAGTCATTTCTATAATTTTATCAGCTTGCAGCGCTAATTTTGAGAGATCTGGTGTTTCGGAAATTGTCAAGATTGTTCTAATATTTGAAGGCATTTGTTCTAAAAATAGACTACGTAATACTGAGTCTGAACACTGACCTGAAGCAAGGTGTCTCATTTTTTGTAAGAAAACAGAAGGTTTTTCATCACCCAAATCATGACCATGCAAAAGCTTTCGTAGTCTTGACTCGTTGGTTTCTGCAAGAACACTAATAATCCTGTTCTTCAAAGCCTCGTACTTTCCAAAATCCGGCGGGGATTCCAAAATATCCGATACAATAGGTAGTACTGCTTGCTCCAAATTAAGAATAACATAGCGGAACCTCGAATCGTCATTTGTAATTCTTGACACAGCAAATGCTGCTTCGACTTGTTTAAACCAGAGGATTGGATTCTCCTTCCAGAAAGGAGGTAATTTAACTACGCGTGCAACTTCTATTGAATCTTGACCGTCTGAATTAAAATTTTGCTGCAAATTATTGCTTGTTGCTTGATTTGGTGATTCCTCAATATCAATTTGGGGTCTGCTTCTTTCCGGTTCCGGTGTGCGATACATTTTGAAAATTTTTTTTTTCTTTAATTATAATTTCTTATGGCAGTTTAAAATATCACGTCGGGGTCACCAAAAATATAGAGAATGCGTCTCTATATTTAAAATTAGTTAATAGATTAAAACTTCAAAAATAACTGATTTATTGATATTGATTTTGAAATGCGTGTTGCTGAATTTAAATTTGATTAAGGAATGAATAGCGAACGTTTTTCTTTTTAAAATATACAATTGAACAATAAAATTGAATGTCAAATATAAATAGAAATCTTCTTTATCGATGGCTTGAAAATGAAATCCTTCTTGATCGACGATGACTCTGATGATCACCACAGTCCATGAAATGGGCTATTTTTCTATTTTCCTTAATAATTATCCTAGCAGGCTATAATTACATTCGTTCGACTCCGTAGGCGACAAGGAACAATTTGCATATCTCAGAATTTCGGAAAAGTCCCTAGTTTTTGAGAAAATCGAGATGTTAATTTTTCGTAGTTCCGCCGCTCGCCGCTAGATGGCGCCACCTGTACCGTTTTGAACCGAATTCGACAGAAATTGATTTTCTGGCTTTATTAAGCATCAAAACGCATCAAGCCCTTATAGAAATTTGTTTCTAAATACCTCAGGAACCATACTGCGTCGTCAAAGTGCCGAAATATAAATTTTTTTTTTTCGGCACTCAGCCGCCAGACGGCGCCAAGTATATAGTCCTTTTATACAATTTAATTAATATAATTGATTTCATTAGTTTAATTAACCGTAAAATGAATTGAATTACATAGCAATGCAAGTTCAATTAACTTCCAATTGTTTTAACTGTACTTATCAATTTTTAACCATTCGTAGGCAAATTCTAGTTAACCAGGTTTCTGTCTGAGGCGCCATCTAGCGACAGAAGAGGAGAACTAATTAAACTGCTGTTTCAAAAGTGTGTAGTTCACCCTGTTCGCCGAAGAGATGGCGCCACAATTCCATTTTTTTTTTTTATTAAATTAATATTGATTTTATTAATTAATATGTTATATATTTATTAATATTGATTCTATGATGTTTATAATGCATTCTGCAGATCCGAAGATGTGGATTATATGTTCAGAACAGTTTTGCACACTATATTGCCTCTCGTCGGCAATATAGAGAATGCTAAGAGGTAAAACAGATAGAGCAGATAAAACAGAACTCTGAACAACCATCAGTTAATAAAAATGGGATTCTTTTACCGTTTGATGGTAAATTTGCTAATATAGAATTTTAAACACATTATTAACACACAATTTTTTAAATTGTTAAACTTTTTAACAAATCTACACAATTATCATCGAATGCATTTAAATAAATAAATAGGGAGAAACTTTTTAAACTTGATAAACTACTTACTGTTTTAAAATAGTGGCGCTGTGAGGTAAGCTAGTATATAACAAACCTGTGCTTTAAACCATTTCCCATAAATTATATAATTAATTTAATTATTTAAATCAAATAAAATTTTATTACACTCTGAATGTATTTCAAAATTTGTCCACTGTTCAAAGCTTGAAAACGTTCTTTGATAAAACATAAATAATTACAATAATTTACAAGTTGACTATCAATTAATTATCCGCAGTTTAATAAAAGAAAATCGTGTTTTATCTAATATTTACCTTTCTCCCTCAGTTCATTAACTCCCGAAAGCGTATCCTTTATTGCACCCTTATTTTTAGCATGTGGGTTATTGACCTCACGATATTGGTTTCCATTTTCATTTTCTTCCGCTGAAAATCTTGAACACGCGTTAATGTCCAACTTTATAGCCCTGTAATTTTAATCATTTACAACGTACATAAAATAAAAGTTTCCAAGAAAAGTTTATTACCAAAATCTGTAAACTCGTAGATCTTGTAATTAAAAAAATTATTCGCAAATGAACGAGGTATTAGTGGACCTTTTTAATAAAAATTGTTTCGTTCATAAAGCAAGATAGTTCACCTGGCGATATAATAAAAAAGGGAACAATGAAAAAGACGTAAATATGTCGTTCCATGGTGTATGCGTAATAGCCTTAAACTTCGAGCGTAACTTTCTGAATAATTAAAGTTTATACGCATTTATTGCTTATGCTAGCAACTTCTTTCTTTTCTCCTTTGCTTTTGATATTTAACTTTGTTAAATCACAGCGTGAGATTTCACTCGTTAAAAAAATTAACTCGTTATATTCAGAAAATGCAATTTAAATATATTTTCATAATTATTAACTTTTACACTTTTTTCATTAATTATAATTTAATTCACTTCTCTAATTTAGCTTTATTTTAACATACATTCATTTATTTTAATTTATTAGATAAAATATTTAAATTAAAATTTATTTTGAACCTCTTGCATTAATTATAAATTTTTATAATTATTTATAGAATATAATGTAAATATAAATTATTTCTCTAATTTACCTTTCATCAAAAATTATTATTTAATGAAAGGAGTAATAGAACGTATAAGTATGAAATTATGTATCATTAAATTGTAGATGCAAAAGAAAATAAAAATGTCAATGTTTTGAAATGTTCATATTTTATATTTTTCCGTGTTCCAACGTTTAAATATAGCAGTGAAATAATTGAAGATTGAAGTATCGATAAAAAGGTTGCGTAAATGGAATCAGAACGTTGATGGATTTTGATAAAATTAAATTCGTGTTTCTACGGAAAATGGAGAAATGGTTTTATTACGACCTCACTTTTTAATTCAGATTTTTGTCACATAGCAATAACTCTATAGAAAGTTTCGAACGTCCATTATTTAAAAGTGGTTTATTTGACAGCAAATCGAAACATTTTATAGAGTCCTCTCAATTTATGGTCGTCTCTTGTAATGCATTATTTTTAGGAATTTCAAGGGTCAACAATTTTTAAGAATCAAATTTTAAGAAATACGTAATGTTTGACGGTATATTTTTAAAATTTAAAGGATAATGTTTCAAAATTAAAAAATGAAGTTTCAAGAAGTACGTCAGTAGTAACGTAACATAACCTAACCTAATTTAAAGTAAATCCAAATTAATAGTAACCTAACCTAACCAAACATAATTTAATTTAAAAGAAATCTAAATTAGTAGTAATCTAAATAAATAATAATCTAAATGTCTAGTAATCTCAGTTAATAGTAACCTAACTTGTTAGTAACCTAACCTAACATTACCTACCATAACCTAACTCAAAATAAATCTAAATCAATACTAACCTACATAAACAATAACCTTAATGACTAGTAATTTCAGTTAATTGTAACCTAAATAAATAATAACCTAAATGAGTAGTAACCTAACCTCCAAACCTAGTATAACCTAACCTAATTTAAAATATATCTAAATAGATATTAACTTAAATAAATAATAACCTGAATAAACTACAGTTACTTTCCAAATCTATAGTTCCCTAAATTCACAACTCCCAATTTCCAAATCCGTAACTACTCAATTTCCAAATTCCCTTATTTCCAAATCCATAATTCCCCAAATTCACAGCCCCCAATTTCTAAATCCCCAACTTCTCAATTTCCAAATCTACAGTTCCCCAAATTCACAGCTCCCAATTTCCAAATCCCCAATAACCCAATTTCCAAATTCCCTAATTTCCAAATCCATAATTCCCCAAATTCACAGCCCCCAATTTCTAAATCCCCAACTACTAAATTTCCAAATTCCCCAATTTCCAAATCTATAGTTCCCCAAATTCACAACCCCCAATTTCTAAATCCCCAACTACTCAATTTCCAAATCCATAATTCCCCAAATTCGCAACTCCCAATTTCCAAATCCCTAACTCGTAAATTTCCAAATTCCCTAATTTCCAAATCCATAATTCCCCAAATTTACAGCCCCCAATTTCCAAATCCATAATTCCCCAAATTCACAGCCCCCAATTTCTAAATCCCCAACTACTCAATTTCCAAATTCCCTAATTTCCAAATCCATAATTCCCCGAATTCACAACCCCCAATTTCCACATTCCCTAATTTCCAAATCCCCAATTCCCCGAATCACCTCGCAATCTCCCAAATTCCCCGAAATAATCTAAAAATTCCCGCCCAAAAATTGCACCCCATTCAAGAACCAGTACAACATTCAAATACACCATTCCAACACCAACAAAGATAACACGGCTTAAAATTCAGCAAGAACTAACGAGAAATCAGTTTGTAACGATAAAAATGTCCCCGGCGATGCCCGTCGCGTTAAATGGCACGTGTTAACTTGAATATTCATACACGTAGTAGTGTAACCGGCAATTTTCGAGCGATTTCGACGTTTATGCAAAACGTATCCCGTTGTTGGCCATTGCGTCAGGGGAGGGTTCGAACGTTAAACGAACGAAGGAACCCATTTAACCCCGTACATCTGTAAAAATAAAAGAGCAACGACGCGAAATCGTGGCGTCGCCCACGGCCGGGATTGACGCGCTACGACATTTCACGCGCCTCGTTTGTCTTCCTTTTTTATTGCAAATGCATATCGAACGTTGCCGGTGTAATGGCTTGTGATGCCCTCGTCGAACAGTGTGTTCGTTTCCTGACGAAACTTAACGCTTCTTCTCTAATTGATGCTTTGGCAAATTGTTGTGACGAAGCTTCTTGTGCTTCAGGCGTTTTTGGATATTTGGAAGATTTCGGGTGGGGTTAGGTTACTATTTGGTTAGGTTAGTATTAGTTAGGTTACTATTAGATTAGTGCTAATTTAGGGTTTAAGTTGGGTTACTATTAATTTAGATTTATTTTAAATTAGGTGAGGTTACTCCTAAGTTAGGTTACTACTCATTTAGATTATTATTTATTTAGGTTACAATTAACTGAAGTTACTAGTCATTTAGGTTACTATTTATTTAGGTTAGTATTGATTTAGGTTTATTTTAAGTTAGGTTAAGTTATGGTAAGTTAGGTTAGGTTACTAACTTAGGTTTCGACTAACTGAAGTTACTAGTCATTTAGGTTATTATTTATTTAGGTTAGTATTGATTTAGGTTTATTTTAAG